ATGTGAAAGGGTTAAAATGTGTAGGAAAGATCTTTGAGTAAATAGGGTAGACAACTCTTAGTTACTTGATCAAAACTTGTAAACATCCTTGCTAATTTCAAAATACACAAAACATTTTCCCAAAACAAACTTTCAAACATTGAAACATTTTTCAAAAGACAAAACACCTTTGTATACATTCAAACAAGAATCATTACAAAGGTTGCCACAACGATGGCCTCTTTTCAAAATACTTTCAAAACCACACACAAAGCACCATTTCAGACAATTGAAAAGCAAAAGCAAGGGATCTAAATCAAGTAACTAAGAGTCCATGGAAAACCATGGATGAAAAGGGTGCTAGCACCTTCCCTTTTCATAATCTACCCCCCGAACCCAAGAAAACATCTCAAAGATATTTCCTGTGCTTTTTGACCTTTCCTTTGGATAAATAAAAAGTCAGTGGCGACTCTTGCTAAACCGAAACATTTGCAAACACAAACACAAAACCTCAAGTCAGTTCTCCCACCGTATCACAACAACCAAGTGGATTTACCCTAGGGGTGCTTGTGTGAAAGTGTATTATTTTTCATGCTTGGTTTTGTCTTTGATTAGAGTTTTCTAAGCATTGGTTTTAGTCTTTCCATACAAACCCTAATTACTAGCATTTGTATATAAAAGCGATAAATTGCAGAATTTAAAATTATTACGCTATTACAATACTTGTGGGAGGGGGGTGTACAACTTATAAATGGGGATTGCAAGAAAATAAACCTAATTAATCTATTACAACCATATTGAATTGGTACAAAAATTGAAATAAATAATGTACAAAATGAATAAATATACAATAATGTAAATGTAAAGTAAATGGATGTTTATTTGGATTTTTAGGGAAAAGGGGTTTTGATTTTAACCTAATTAACTAAAGGGAAAATAATTAATTAAAAGTAAAAACCTAAATTTACTAGGAAAAGAAATTAAATAAAACCCTAATCTATTAATTAATTAAAAAGAAATTAAGTTTATAAGAAAAGTAATTTTTTTGGTATTTTTGTCTTAAAAATAATTTATAGTATTATAAAATATTTTTGGTCTTTTTTAAATATTAAAATAATACATTTAAATTGTGTAAAAGAAAATAATTAAAACCCTAGTTTTTAATTAAATTTACAAAATAATTAGTGAAATAAACAAAGTATGATTAAATAAAATAATTTTTTGTGTGAGAAAAATAAATAAACTCTGTCAAAATATAAATATAATATTTTTATATTTTTTTATGATTTTTTAATATTAAATAAAATGTTTAAGAAAACAAATAAATAAAAAAGAAAAAAGAAAATAAAAGATGGGTCAGGGTGCAAATAGCCAACAGGGGGTCAAAAGTAAGAAAAAAATCATTAGGCCCAAGGGAGGCCCAGCGCCTGTCCAAAACAAAAGTCAGAATGTATGAAAAAATCCAAAAGGGTACCATTGGGGCTCGAACCCAGGTCCCTCAAGTCACATGCGCGAGCTTTTACTACTGGGATGGCTATACATCCGTTTATATAATCAAAACAATAAATATATGATAGTAAACAAGTCCATGGCCTGAACTTCATCTTCAACCTCACGCCCAGCCAGAGCCTTTGTATCTTGATCAATTCTCAACAAAAATGAAAAGTGTAAACAAGAAACTTGTAGCAAATTTTCTCACAATTTAAAAAATGCAAAGCAATAAAATTATAGATCAAAGATAAGCATGAATTTTAATGACCCTAATCTGAACCCTAAAAATCACAAACTTCAATCTTAAAATTCTCTAAGCTCAAACAAAATTAATGAAAACTATGGACATGGTTAGCTTTAGGGCAATGATACCTACATTTTTCATTCACAAATAAACCATTAATGATGCATGTATGAAAAGTTCCAAAGTCAAAAAACTTACCTTGCAAGAGGGTATCAGGTTTGGAGTTTGAGTAGCTTTCAGTGAGTTCCAATGATTGGATTAGCTTCCTCAAGTTCTCAGGAAGCTAATGGGATGCTTAGCTTGAGCTGAAAGTGCCTGAGGAGTTCTGGAGAAGTCAAGGTGCAAGGTGATGTTTTTGAAAATGATGGATGATGATGGAGGTGTTACAGTGGTGCTGCAGGTGTTGGAATTGTTTGTATATGTTGTTTAGAAGCTTTTGAAAGTAAAAGGCCAAGAAACGCACGAGTAAATTTGGAGATTGGATCCAAAACTCAGAAATGACAAGTTTTGAAGTGTTCTTGGTGATTTTGTGTTCTAGGTGTTTTCAGGGCTCAAGCAAGCGTGGGATTGGTGGCAAAATGGCTTGTGTATGTATAATCAAAGAGGTTTGAGTGCTTTGGAAAGTCAGTAGTACAAGTTACAAGCTAATTGCTAGGTTACTTGATTTTTAAGAAAAAGTGGAAAACAAGTTTCAAGAGGAGGTACAAGCATGGGCTGAGTGATTGTAAGTGTCTAACAAGTTTCTCTTGAGTTATGGGACTTGTATGATCAGAAGAAAGCAATTGCAAAGCTCAAGAACAAGTTTTGTGCAAAAAGTCACTTTATCAAAATGACAATGTGCACTTTCTTCCCAAAATGGATATAAAGCATGGCCTTACATTGAATGCTTGGAATGAGACCTCTAACAGTTGTGCAAGTAATTAATTACAGAGTGCCTAACAAGTTTGAGGCCTGCAAAGTAGATGTTATACAACATAAGTTTGAATTTTGAATTTGTTCATCACAAAATGACTTGTAATTCAAGTGATAAAACCCTAACTTCATCTCTTTGATTCTCCCTACTCAAAAACGATCTCAAGGAGTTCTTAGACATTTTGGAAAGCTTGTAATGTTATTTACAATCCATCTTTTAATCACTTTTGAAAATTCCCCTTGGAACTATATGAAAAAGCGCCATGAAGTTGGGTCAAAATCCTGACCAAATTAGGGCAAAATTTCACTAAGTGTTTTGTTTCATGACCATGTGTTCTTAAAATTAAAACTTGAGATCCAAGCACTTTTGGAAGGAGTTGTGTAAATAAATGTTGTAGATTTCATGGATATCTACAAATTTTATGTTGGAAGTTTCTTTTAAATCATCTTGCATCATGGTGAAATTTTTTCTCAAAGTTGTGAAAAAATAAGAAATTTCCAACACTTAGAAAAATTTCTAAGTTTAGAAATTTTAACTTTTCAAAATGAAATCTTGAATTTTTGATTTCTTGATGAACAAGTTTCATATTTTGACATGCTTTGATAAATTGTGATCTTCGACATTTGATTTTGACCAAAAAGTCAAAGTTTGACTTTTCAGTATACACTTGACTTTTGATCAGTTGACTGAAAATTCATCTGTCAATCCATTGGACTTGAGCAATGTTTTGAGCCATGTCATTAGGTCAAAATGATGCAATTGGAATCTTGAGATCATGCCTTAAACCAATTGATCATTTGCTAGGTCAAAAATAAGAAATTGCCCTTTCCCAGTCAAAATCCTAATTTTGACCATTTTGCCCTTTTGAAGATTTGATCAAATTTCTTGAGGAATTATGGTCCAAATTTGATCAAATGATACATATGAGTTTAAAATGTTGATGTGGATCAAAGATTATGAAGTTTAACTGTAAATTGGCCACAATTGACTTTTCCCCAATACAAATGATTTTTAGGTCAACTGCTCAATTGACTGAGCAAAAGTGTGATCCAAAGCTTGAAACTTGGCATGAGTAAACTTGAGGGTCCTTAATGATCCATGAAAGTCGTATGGGACATTGGAAGTTCAAATATCCTTGTGCAATCTCAAACCCTAATTTTGGTCATCAGTGCTTAAGGAGGTGTCTTGAGCTGATCAACCTTAGTGCAGTCTTGAGCCAAATGAGATCTTGTGAACAAATTCTTGATAAATGAGAGGGAAAATTTTGGGGTACAACAATAAGGATTTGTTTGTAGAAACTCTAAAGTCTATTTTCTTATAACTCATTTGTAATCTCTTGTAGCAACTTTTGAAAGTATAATAAATTAGATGACTACTTTCTCTCTCGTAGTAGATCGTTTGATTAAACTGGGTAAACAATTTATTATGTTCTTGTCTTTTATCTTATTCTAACTAGTTGTGGATTTGGTTTCACTTTTGATAAGTTATTGTGTTACTTTAGGACATTTATTTTAGTTTTCATTGTTCTTTGTTCTCACACATCAAATTTATTGGCGTATTTAAACTATGGATAATTCTTCTTAAGTGCTTTAAGTTATTCTACCAGTTTTTCACAACATGTGTGTTGCACCCCAAAATTTATCCTCCTAACTTCTAGTTTATCTGGCTTAGGCTTCACATTCATACGCATACGCTTCCAGTAGGTCATTGGCATTAAACAATCATTCATTCATCACATATGCATCACTAGTGGCATCTAGATTGACTGAAAGTCAATTTAAATCAACCTTCACATCGTTTTGTAGTTGAAAAATACTTGTTACCTCGTTTCATTCATCTTTATCTCTTTACCCGCTTCATACACCGTGTTAAGTTGTTTATATGTCGATAATATTAACATTTCAGTTTTACGAACAAATCGTTAAAAGCGATCTGACACTGTGTGAAAAATTAACAAGAAAATATTTCAAGTTTTCATCTTTAACTGACTGTTTATGAATCTACGTTTCGCATAAATCATGATGGTGTGCTCGCTTTATTTTTTCAACACATTTTGCAGTATCGTTCTTAATCGTCAGTGTTTTGCAATCGAGCATTCTTATTCTCATTTTATTTCGATTTTAACTATTTGAGTTAGTTTCTATTAATGTTTGTGATCTGCAGTTTATGTTAATGTGTTCATTTCTTTTTTTCGATTAATTTAATGTCTGTATTTTATCATTTTCGACAATTTTAGATATTCCTTTTTTATCTTGAAAAATTAAAACAAAAATATTTTTAAATATGTTAATTTTTATTCGTATAGTTTTTAATATCATTTTTATCAACTTATTTGGTCATGAAATTAACTACTAACCTAAGTCTGTTCTGTATAAAGAGATAAGATTGGTTAATTTGTGGAGGGAGCTCATAAAATTGGATCCAATTGCAAAACGAAAAACGAGAACCCGTTGCTTCTCCTCTTCATCCCCAATACTCAACATCCATCACAAAAGCCGAACCCCACATAATACTCCCTCCGGCGAGCTCACTTCCATCACCACCGTAAACCACCCAACATCCACTTCGCGATACTCCCACCGGAATCCATTTCATCTGTCCACAGTCACCCTTCATAATCACCGGACCGCACGTCCTTCCGCCATCAAACTCCCTCCGTCACCCCCCTCCGTAAGAACCTCACATCCGACCCTGCTTCTTATTCTCATTCGCACGCGTCCAGCTCGACACTCCCTTCACCCCTCCGTGAAACTGCTATGCGCAATCTCCCCTACTATCCGCGACACCACCTTCTGTCAAACAACCACCCTCTGCTACAGCGTACTCCCTCCGATACAGTACTCTCTCCTACTGCAACCATCACCAATACCTTCATCGTTCTCAAGTGGTAAACCTCATCATTCTCACCATTTTAGTTTACTCCTAATTTATGGTTTTGTTTTGACAAATTATTGGTTAATATAATGATGTTTTTTTGTTGAGTCGATTTAATAATGTTATCATGTTATTGTTGAAGTTAATTGTTGTTAAAAATTAGGAAGGAATTGTGGAAGTCATGAATCAAGTGTTAGCATAATATGTTGGTTGTTGTTTGAACTTTTTAATGACACTGTTGAAATGAATCATTGTGGTAAATTGTTTGATGTTTGATTAATGTGGAGATGATGACGTTGTTGTTTGTTATGGTGAATAACTTAGTAATAATTTTTTATGATTAATGTTGATTGTTTGAGTTAATTTTGAGCAATATCTTGATATCATGATATCATTGTGTTATTATGTTTGAGTTGAATGATGAATCGTTGTTGTTTGTTCAAATAAACGGTAGCATGGTTATGATAAATGGAAGGATGAATTTGTGTATGTTATTGATTTGTTTGGTGTTTAATTGACTTGTTGAGATTTTGGGAGGAGATTATGATGTTGATACCACATTTGTTTGAATCAGTTTGAAGATTTTGGTTGACATCTTGGAGCTATTTGTGTCAAATTTGAACAAGTAGGTTGGTTATGGCATTGTTTTGAAATTTCCTTTTGTGTATACCGTGTTTGAGTTGAAATTATTGAACTCTCTTGTGTAAGTTGAGTTGTTGCCCGAAAGTTGCAAAGAGGTTAAAAACCACGTTTTAATTAATTGTTTGCTCACTTTTTAACTTAATTGAAATATACCACGAGCTTGTTCATAATTGATTGTTGGTTTTGATGTTGTGTTTGTTGATTGAGTCATCTTGGAAGAGACTTTGTTGATGTTTGAGTTGAGTTCCAATGATAAAGTTTTGTTTGTGATATTGATGTATCCACGTAAGGTTTGATCGTCTTTGAGATAGACTTTATTGTGCGTTAATGGGTATAGGTCGTTGCTGCCCGGATTTTGGTTTAGAAATTTAAGACTTATTTTGAACTCAATTTTTCATATTGCAATGTGAATGCTCCCTTCTTGTTTCATTTGTGGTTCGAAAACCATGTTTACTTTTGAGTTTCAATTCTCTCGCTATTACTAACTTGTTTGTTGGTTTGTGTAAGTTCTCAAGACGACTCAAGTGGTTACTTCTGCTTCACACTTTTTATTCACTTTCGATTTATTAATCAAGTCTTGATTCATTTAGTTGGTTTACTTATTAAAAATTAATTAGCCTTGCTAATTAATTTTTCTTAACTTAATCATTTAAGTTTAATCAATTCTTGATTAAACTTTCACTTCATATTCCGTTTATCCTGGTTGTGTCTAGTTGTGCTATTTTTCATCTGATGTAGGAATTGAAATTCTTATCTGATACTTCGGACTTATCTGACACTTTACACTTGTAATTTATTTTCACTTGATGTTTATTCATTGGCGCGACTCTTGCGCATTTGAATGCTAATTCTATTGCTTGTTGATGAAGCTTTCGCGAAGATCTTCGGGTTTCTTACGCTTTGTTAGGCAAAAGCGATGGACTCTTGTTCGTTTGGTACTTTTTTTAATTCTATTTTATTATGCATTGTCTTTCGATTTCTTTGCCATGAGAAGTAGGAATAAAGATGCATGGGTTAAAGACCTACCCCTGTAGACATTGCGAAACTTGTTTGTTTAAAGACCTCAAAGAAGACAATTATGTTTGTTTAAAGACCTCAAAGAAGGCAATTCCCCTTTTACTTTGTGTTTGTAATCGAGACAATAAAAATGGAAGGAGGGCTTGCAATCGGCCCCCATTTTTCTAGTCCCTTGGTCATTCTTAGCTCACGTTACACGTTAATGCTTTGAATTGTTCTTCTCTTGTCCTTTGAGTCAATAAAGTGGAAGGAGGGTTCGTAATCAACCTCCACGCATTGTCATCGTTTCAGCGATATCTAGCTCACGTTTCTTAACGCTGATGTTTGAGTTGTTACTCGGTTTGTGATTGAGCTATTCTAGTGGAAGAAGGGTCTTTCGACTCATCTACCTTGGATTCATATACAGATAGCCCATGCTTGATGCTTGTTAACATCTTTGTTTGTATTTTCTTCCTTACACATTTGCATGTTCCCTTAGGATCACTTGTTTCATCTTCGACTCAAGGTAGACATTAGATTTATAAATCATGCATGCTAACTTAGGTAGATGTTTCCCTTTTGTATCCAAACATTAGGACCATCATTGCATGATAACATTAGGATTGTTAATCTCCCTTAGACTTTTTCATTTTCCTTTTGCATCATTAAAACTAAAGCTCTCTTTTCTTTTTTCAAACTCTAAAACACTTAATAAATAAAGATGAGAATCGTATGCAGTTGAGTCTTGTGGGATAGATCGAATCGGTCTAGACTGAATCTTGTTCTTTCTTCCATTTTTTGAATTTATTATGATTCATTTCACAAACTCTTTTTGCAAATAAGCGGAGAAAGAGTGAATTTCCCTCCAGTGAAATCCATTTGCTATCATCCCACCGAAAACATCAACCAACTCAAACCTTTTTGCCATCGGGCCGCTTTCGACTTTTCTTTGAAAACGTTTTTGCTAAAAATGATGTATTATTTCCTCTCCACGCAAAACATCGTGTAATTCCCCAAAGGTCGGGTGACTTTATGTCAACTACTAGAGTGCGAATGTAATACTATCTGCTTAAAAAATGCAAACAAATCAGCATTTTCTAGACGAACTACGAGTGGCTTGATCCCTTATTGCACGAAGGGGTACGTAGGCACAAAATATTCACAACTACGACAGACTCAACTATTAAAACATTTTTTTTGTATATACACTCTGCATTCATGCATTTTCCCTTAGCTTGTAAGCTTTAGATATACACACCATTTGATTAGAACAACAAAAATGGATCTCGTTTAGGACCACAAACATGAGGGATTCTAATACCTTCCTCTTGCGTAATCGACTCCCGTATCCGATCTCTCAGTTGCAAGACCGTGATTTCTTCCTTCTCAGGTTTTCTTCGATGTTTTCCTTTCCTATGAAATAAATAAATACTCAATGGCGACTTTATTGATTTTCTCTCGATGATTTTCCCGGTTGCTGCAATGTGTATTAATGATAATCAGAATTCAATCATAATCATTCTTATATGTTTATGCAAATTGCATTTCTTCTATATCACTTGTATTAGAGTCATTGTCAAAGTAGTAATCTCTTACATAATGACCAAATTTCTAACAACAATAAAATTAAACCTCTTTATATAAACCTTTTTCTTGAATTTCTTGTTGTTGGAGGCACCGGTTTGGCTTAACTCCCCTTGATTATTTGAATTCTTGCCAGAACCTTTGTCATTCCACATCTTCTTTTTCCACTTATATTTTCCTTTGACACCCTTTTCATCTTTTTGAAGAACTTTGATAAGAGTGTTTGTTTTGTGACTTTCTATAAATTTATTTGTTTCAATCACATCTCACGATCTTCTAACGAGGTTTGCAACTCTTCAATATTCATCTTTGAGAGATTATTGGACACTTTAATGACAACAATATGACCAGTCTTGGTAGTCAAAGCTTTATATAATTTCTCAACCTTATGCAATTCAGTAATCTTTTCACCACACAATTTTATTTAATTGATAAAAAATACCAAGCTCATGAAGAAATATGCGACAAAATCATCATCATTCATTTGTGTATTCTCATATTAATTTCTTAGTGCATGCAATTTCACTTTCTTTAATTTTTAATCACCAACATACAATTTATTGAGTGTATCCCATGCATCCATAAGCGTTTCTTCTTTGATAATCTTCTCAAAGATGTTCGAATTCACACATTGATATATCAAAAGCAGACCTTTCACATACTTCTGGCTAGAATTAGATGGGTTTCTTTTTACGCATTAGTTGCATTGTTTTCTAATGCAGGTAAGCCATTATTCAATATTTTAAGAACATTTTAAAATTTGAATATCACTCATTTGCGCGCATCACCTATCATATTGTTCTACTTTGATAACTGATAGGCTTGTTGGAAATTGGTTTGAGACTATGCTTCCATTCACCATTGTTGAGGGCTTTGATCAAACCATTTATCTATAATGCCAATTTCTTGAGATAAGTTGATGGAAAAAGAGATTAATGACAATAAAGAATAATTAATAATAATTAGGCCTACTGGACTGTGTGGAAAATATATATTGATTGAAAATATCTTTTTTTAAATAATTGCAAATAAATTAAACTAAAAATTAGAGAACAAAAGGCCTAAGAGGACAAAAACCAAAACCCATTAAAAACATACCACCAAAACGTAATACATAGCAACCTTAAAGGGTAAATAAAGAAAATCTATATCTAAATTCTTAGTTGACAAACGTGCACTACAAGTACAACACAAAAAACACACACACGATCGCAACATTAAATTGAAAAAAGTAGTAGTTTGTGAACTGATAAGTTTAGAATCCATATCTTCAAGAATATCGAATGAACTTGACCTCCAATAGGGAAACAAGTCCACACCCCAACAACCCACTATATCAACACACCACTGAAACCCTGTGATAAAAACCATAAGCAAAATGACTATTTCGAGCCAAATATTCCAACATCAAAAAATGATATGGAAATCCACTCTATTTGATATCAATCACGATGACTGATACATATAAAAGTCGGTACCAGTGCAAAGGAGGCAAACCTTAAAACTCGAAATCTACAGATCTCAACAGATCTGAAAACAATCAGAAGATCAAAAGATAAAGACACCAAACTTGAACAAGAAACACAAACATGCGGCTGTGGCAAAACCACAATCGTTAAATAGATCCATCAGAGAAGACAACGAAACTGCCGGTGTCTGAGAATTGAAAAACAACCACGAAACACCAACAAAAAAGAAACCACTCGAAATCTACGTATGCGCGCGTGCAGACACATACAGAAACCACTCGAAATCTATGTATGCGCGCGTGCGCGCGCGCACACACACATATATATATATATATATATATATATATATATATATATATATATATATATATATATATATATATATATATATATATATAT